TCTTGTTACAAAAAAAACAAAGACTGTACACGGTTTTCGACTCAATTCAAACATGTTAAAAAATCAAAGTCCATGAATTTTCACTCAAAAATTTTGATCAAAAAAATTTTGAGAAAAAAAAAATTGGGAAAAAAAAATTTGAGAAAAAAAAATTTGACAAAAAAATTTTTGGTCAAAAAAATTTTGCAAAAAAAAATTTTTGAAAAAAAAAATTTTGGTCAAAAAAATTTTTGAAAAAAAAAATTTGGTCAAAAAAATTTTTGGTCAAAAAAATTTTTGGTCAAAAAAATTTTGGTCAAAAAATAGTGGTCAAAAAAATTGTGGTCAAAAAAATTTTGGTCCAAAAAACTTTGATCTAAAAAATTTTGGGAAAAAAAATTGGGAGAAAAAAAAATTGAGAAAAAAATTTTGATCAAAAAAATTTTGGTCAAAAAAATTTTGGGAAAAAAAGTTTTGGAAAAAAAATTTTGGTCAAAAAAATTTCGGTCAAAAAAATTTTGGTCAAAAAAATTTTGATCAAAAAAATTTTGGGAAAAAAAATTTTGGGAAAAAAAATATTGGGAAAAAAAATTTTGAGAAAATAAATTGGGGGAAAAAAATTGGGGAAAAACCTTGAACTTTGATTTTTTTAATTAGAGAAAAATTTTGGAGAAAAAAATGAGGGAAAAAATTGTGAAAAAATTTTGGGGAAAAAAATTTAGGGGAAAAAAATTTGAGGAAAAATTTTAGGGAAAAAAAAATTTGGAAAAAAAAATGTGAAAAAAATTTTGAAAAAAAATTTTGGCGAAAAAAATTTTTTTTTAAAAAATTTTGAAAAAAGATTTTCAGCAAAAAAACTTTAGAGAAAAACCATGGACTTGGGACCTTGGGACTTGAAAAACATGAACCTTTGATTTTTTGGGGAAAAACACGGACTATGGTATTTGAATTTTTGGGAAAAAATTTAGGAAAAAAAAATTTTGGGAAAAAACCATGGACTATAAGTCTTTGATTTTTTGAGAAAAATTTTTTTGGGAAAAAAAATTTGGAAAAAAAAATTTTTAGAAAAAAAAATTTTGGAAAAAAAAATTGTGAAAAAAATTTTGACGAAAAAAATTTTGAAAAAAAAAATTGGCAAAAAAAAATTCGGGAAAAAAATTTTTTAAAAAAAATTTGGGCAAAAAACTTTGGGAAAAAACCATGGACTATATTCTTAGATTTTTGGCAAAAAAAAAATTGGGAAATTTTTTTTAAAAAAAATTTTTGGGAAAAACCATGTACTATCCTTTGACTTTCTGGGAAAAAAACATAGACTATAGTCAAAAATTCTTTAATTTTTGTGGAAAAACCATGGACTATAATCTTTGACTTTTTGTAAAAGAATTATTTGAAAAAAAAAATGGAAAACAAATAGGGGAAAAAAAATTAGAGAAAAAATCGGGAAAAAATTGCTGGAAAAAAATTTTGGGGGAAAAAAATTGGCGGAAAAATTTTAGGGAAAAACATTTTTTTTGGAAAAAAAAATGGGGAAAAACCATGTACCATAATCTTTGATTTTTTGGGGAAAACCATGGACTTAGTCTATGTCTTTGATTTTTTGGAATATTTTGGAAAAAAAAATTGTTCAAAAATTTTTTTTCAAACATTTTTTCCAAATTTTTTTTCCGATTTTTTCTCAAAAAAAATTTTTTTTCAAAAATTCTTTTCTAAAAATTGTTCCTAAAAAATTTTTCTTCAACATTTTTTTCAAATTTTTTATTCAAAAATGTTTCCCTAATTTTTTTTTTCTAAAAAAATCATTTATGGTTTTTCACTCGAATCAAAACATGTCAAAACATCCACATTTCTCACTCAATTCAATCCTGTTGAAAAATTCAAAGACTGGCCATGGTTTTTCACTTCAATTTTCAATTCAATCTTGTTACAAAAAAACAAAGACTGTACACGGTTTTCCACTCAATTCAAACATGTTAAAAAATCAAAGTCCATGAATTTTCACTCAATGCAATCTTGTTAAAAAATTTACATTTTTCACTCAATTCAATCTTGTTAGAAAATCAAAGACTATACTCCATGAATTTTCACTCAATTCAATCTTGTTAAAAGAGCGTATTGACTGAAAAATGTATATTTTTTGACATGTTTGAATAGACTGAAAAGCGAGGACTATAACACTGCTTTTTTAACCCTTTGAGAACAAGCGCCGCATATATGTGTTTTACGCAAATTATCAAACTGGCCGAAGAACTCATATATGCTTTTGACAAAGGTAAGGTGTATATAAATATAATATATGCATATGTCTAGAATTTGAATATGAATACTTGTATTTGAGTTAGAGTGCTAGAAATATGCGAGGGCAATTTTACATGACTATCGTGACAGTAGCTTGGCAACATCTTACGGTTCACTTCAAACTGTCCCGTTCCCAAATGGTTAACAACCGGTCCACGTTCCGGCGCAAGCCTCTGAGTCAGAGGTTTGCGCCTATTCAAAAATGCAATTAATTAAACACAAACTTACCTTGTTTAGCTAGTGCAGCATATCGCATTCAAATAACCCAATAAACATGCAATGTTGTTGGCAATATTGTAAGTATATCATATGTCAATGTGGATGCTGTAACAAAATAAATATTAATATCTCTTATTTCTGGCAATATCTAATATATCAATACCTTTTGCGTAGATTATATTTGTATGTCACAACACCAATTTTGAATGATGTAATATCAAGCAAGTGTTGAAATTTTACACCTGTAATCAAATAACTGCATCTAATTGTATCATTTCAAAATAAATCAATTCCAAATCTGAGGAACACTATCCATATCAAAATATTAATATTTATTCATATAAGCATTGAAAATCAATGTTATATTAATACAGACACAAAATATAATCTAAGATTTGATAACTTAGTTTTTTAAAGAGCGCAATAACTTAGTTCTTAGTAATACAATAATTCAATAAACTTTAAACATTTATTACAAACTACGAGCATTTTATTATCAATAATATATAGTCATATATAATAATAATATATAGACAGTAATATCAATTAAGTCAATCTTGCGCATATACGAGTATATGTGCAAGATTGACTTAATTGATATTACTGTCAAGAAAAGAAAAGAAAAAGCAGGATCAGGAGGCATGGAAGCAAAAGTTTGAAAAAAAAAAATTCATAAAAAATTTATAAATAAAGGGAAATACTAGTAATGAGAATGATAAATGAGGAAGGAAAACTCGCACCATTGACTTGCCTTCAGACAGACTACCGTTTATTATTATTATTATTATTATTATATATGTGCACGATTTATATACATAAGATTTGTGCACATTTGGTTTCCAATTATTCTGTTTTGAATGTAATATTTAAAATAAGATCTAATAAAACAAATTTTATAAAAAAAATTGATATTGATTTTATTTAAGCCATATCCAATTGTGCATGCCCAACATTATATTCCTCTCTACAACTATTTTCATTATTTTATGTAAATAATTTCAGTAAAATACATTTGTAATTACCTGTTATTTTTCTTTTGATATTATGTTTCACACAAAATGCAATATCAACGTTTTTATTCTATTACACCAATAATTAATATATCTCATAATAGTACTCTAATTTACATATATTCTGTATATTTATGTTTTCTTATACATTTATATAATATATATCTGAAACTTTAACATATAGTTAGTTTATCGAAATAAAACTCTCATCGTTGTTAAACATAAATTGGACTCCAATTCATTTGGCTTTGAGTTATATCTGACAATAATCATTTTTGGTACGCTTCTACTGAATATATAAATTTTATTTTTGAGATAGAATGTATTATGTAAATATTACCTTACCTATTTTTTATATCTTAAACACACAAATGGCAACATGAAATAATGCAATGCTAATGTTAAAATAATGTATTAATGATCATTGGCACATTTTAACTGAATGAATTATTAATACTAACTTTCTAGACATTTTTATAAATCGTTAAAAATGTAATCAAATATAAGTAAAATTTGAGCATATCAATTCATAAAATTTTCAAAAATAATTAAGAGTTTCAAATTGCTTTATTTTTGAACACTATTATTAGTTATATTGCTGAAATAGATATTTCATTTTCAAAAACAATAAATAAAAATATCATCCTCAGTCAATGTCATGCAAAGTAAAAAAAGATTTTGAAAAAGGACAAGACATTTAGACATAAAAATTAAATTTGTTATTAAAATAAGAACAGTTTTTCTATGTAATTTCTTTTCAAACAACGCTGTGATGTAACTGTTTTATGTTCGTGAACAGCTTTTTGTACATTCTGTTCATCATTGTTTAACTATAATTTAATAAATTTTCAAGATTTGTTATAATTTAATTAGTATTGAATCAAATCTTTCTCTAGGATTGCATATTAAATAACTCATCATTTGTAAAATACAGTAATAAAATTATTGCAGTACATTTAAAATTATAAACAAACTGAAAGAAATTGATACATATGGGCATACTGTGCTCATATTAGTCAAATTAAGCAACTTTATAAGATGTAACTTAAAGACAACTTCAAACATAACTCAAAGAGCGATTATCTCAGTTGAATGACAGTACGAAAAGTTATATAAAAAATGATGGCTTACAGATCTTGAAAAAAGGCCTACTGCCGCACAAATTATGAATATTTTGCAAGCAATTAAGAACTTAGAGTTCCAATATAATTGATTTTATTGAAATTATACAATAAAAACAATTGTATCTATAGATAGAACAAAATATTAAATATTCTCTAAATAAAAAATAATCAAAAATATTGTTTTACATGTACTTACATATACGCATATGTATCTCACATGTAGCTAAATAATATCAGTGATACCTAATATTAAAAAACTGAATTCATTTCGCTTCGCATAAAATTCAAAGATTTAAAAAAACATATAATAGTATTAAATAAAATATTAAGAAACACTGATATGTGAACTGAATAAGAAAGTATTTCTACTTTACCGCTGATGTTCAATAACTCTCAATTTTAATTTAGGTTCCATTCAAATGATGTATTCTCGATGTTCCGCATATGTTACGTTATTAGCAAATAAATTGTTAAGCTTTTTTTAGGCTTTGTAGCGATCGTTTCGTTTGATCGCGCAGCAAAGCACGACAGAGAAAATCAATCCAAGTAATTCCAAGACGGCGACACCAATTGCAATGCCGATTACCCAACTCATATGGTCTCGAATTGTCTCAACCAGCTTGTCAATGCAACCCTGAGAAACGAGAAAATACATATTAGACTTAGTAACGTTTGTAAATTTATTCAAGAAAATAAATATTTTGCCTTAAATATAAATTATTGAATTATTAATTAATTAAACTCATTATCTAACAATTTATTTTTTCCAGAGACGGTATTGACCTCATCAGCTGATTCTTATGTCAACCGTGATTTTACCACACAGTTAATATCCCTGGAAATATCAACTATTTAGGCGGCAATTATTTTGGTTTTTATTATATATGAATAATCTCTTCAATTAGTCGTATTTTAAATAAATTTCTAAAAACTCTCATACTATTTTTATTGATGTAGCGCCCGACTTGTAAACTCAAATAAAATTCATATATCAATATCAAATTCAGGATTATTATATATATATATATATATATATATATATATATATATATACAGTACAGTATGTATATGAATAATTTCTTGGAGGGCGTGGCGTAATATCAAGTGAAAAAAAGTGCGCGTATTTATATAATGATAAATTATAAATTATATATTTATAATTGCATTAAAAATATGTATAATATTTAAAAACTATATTGTAATTAAAGTAATACTTCAAATATGACATGATCGTTTTGTCATTGAAATTAGCATTTAGAAAATGAACCTTCATTAGAGAAATGAAGTAATTGCTGATTAATAAATTCTATAATATTCGTTCACACAGTAGATTAAATGTTTAACAACGCCTAAACAAATATTATTCTCGCGACTTCACTAATCATGTAATAATTGTGTTTGAAGAACTTCATGTAATTAAAATTAACATACATTCATTGATTGCTTGTATTTTTTTTACTTTTTCGCTGGCGAAATAATCTCATTCTTTGAACAGCTGTAATATCTTTGCCTAAAAATATTTTCCATTTTAATAACTTCAAAGATTTATAGAAACTACGAATAATATAGAAATAATTTCTAATCAATAAACTTACGCTTAGTTCACGGCACAAATATTTGATTTGTCTTATAATTTTCAAGGAACAGGTAAAAATTCAGGCATTTTTCATTAAATCAAGATTTGTACTACGATGTAACTTTAAAATGTTTATTTATCTATGCAGATTTCCTTGTTGATATCGGTACGCATACAACGACAGATCTCTACTCACATACACGACGTCTAATCACAATCGACCCGTACAGAAATGATTTCATCGAGAGCGAATGACGAATCGGCCGTAACGCACTTCCGTTACATTTGTACGGCTTTACACCCTAGTCGCGCCTAAAGATGTTTTACTTCAAAAATAATTTATGTAACGATTTTTAATACATCATTATTTTTCCATACGTTTCGACTTAGAATTCTACGTCATCACCAGTGATGGTTCTACAATTTTGAAAAAAAAACAGAAAAACTATAATTAAAAAATAATTATAAACAGAGCAAACAAATATAACTAAATGAACGGACTAAATATCAAAATCTTAAAGAGTTACAAAAAACAATACTCACTTGATCAACACTAATACATAGTAAGGACACTAAACATGCACTTTAATAATTTAGAATTGGAAAAAAGCACTAAAAATGAAATGAAAGATATCGATCATTCAAGTCATTTTTAATTTCTATAAAAGTAGTAAATATGCAAAGTGACATTTTTGGAAAAACTTATATAACTTATATATTATATCATAATTAAACATACTAAAAAATAATATTAATAAACATACAGTTTACCACATTCAATTCATATAAATAAAATCAAATAATTTTTGTTGCTTCGAAAATGATTATAAAATTCAATTTGTTTTTCATATTTTCCGTTTTTCATTTGCATCTCAAGAAATATGATTCATTGGTTTAGAATTTAATTTCACAGCTTAAATCGACATTGCACGACCCTTTTAGGTTTTGAGCTATATTGTAAATGTAGACGTATACTCCAAGATTAATGCCATGTTTCTGGTTAAAATTAAGTGCTAATAGAATGTAAAATCTGAATAATTTGTTACAACTGCTATCGGACTGCGTTTGAAAAATATTTCGAGCTAGTTATTCGCGGCAAAATCCATTACGAATTCATCTGTTGCAAATGTACAACATTAATGGTAAATCAAAAGTCTTTAATATCATTTTTATATAAAAAATCAATATTTAAATAAAATTAAAACGAACTAAAATTTGTAACAAAAGTCGTTTTTATCTCATTCGTAACATTACACGAAATATACAAAAAACTCTAATGTTCAAGAAATATTAATGAAATTTTGTTGGATCGCCTGGGACACCAAAACTCAACATTTATTGGTCATTTTGTTATAAATTGCTGAGTCGCCTAGTTGCGTATTATTCTTAAGGAAATTCTTTACTACACCACTAATAAATTACATTAATAAATATATAAATTTAATGATACTTACAGAAGAATTGATCACTGGATTGAGATATGCTGTAATGCCAGCTTTACGGCTTTGATCGCATACTAGTTCTGAAACATCGGCTTTGCAGCAACTTGGCGGCATGTTGTAGATAGCCAAGTCTGATGTTACTTTCAAATTGATACTATTGGCATCGGCACCGTTGTAGCGACTGCGAGCCCAATCCTGTGGGCCACTAGCTCCACAGCAGTGCAACTACAAATGATCAATCTTTGGTCATCAATTTGGACGCATGGTATGATCACCGATTATTTATCTAAATTCCGCATTTGTTCAAATCTACTGGCCAATAAACACATACACTATATACACAATATCAAATTTTAGTTTTTTGAATTATCAAAATCGGCTCAAAAAGCGTTGACGAAAAATCTTGCACTTTTCGTTGATTTGCAAAACTAATCAATACGAGTCCATATCGAGTTTCATCAAACATTCACTTTTTACATTTATCAAATCGGTTCAGCGATTTTTTTTAAAGATAACATACACCAAAGGACAAATTTTGGTGCATATTTACTCACATACACATACATCTTCCAAATTTGGTGTCAAATGATTCATAATGACTGAAACATCGAGAAAACACAATTAGTAAACATGATTTACTGGCAAAAACTTCTCTTGCGGAAGGTTAATATAAAAAATCAAAATTATAAATAATATTACAAATAATAATAATAGTTTTTCTCGTTACTAATTTTATAAAAAGGTAAATCTTATACATGACTCACAATCCGTATAAAGCACATATAATCTAATTAATACCACGCATGTATGTTGAATCGTTCGTATCTCGAAGCAATTTTTCCCATGCCAATAATTCGTACCTGCACTGTGGTTTTAATCAAGTTTTTTTAATATTAAAAATAAATTTTATTTTATTAATTTAATTATTATTTCTACTGTTCGTTCATGATTTTGCGAGAATGATTTGGTTTCATGTTCAAACTGTTGCAAATTAAACTGGATGATTTTTACCCACAGAGTATGCAAATTGCTTCGACATACGAGCTTGGTTACAAAACAAATTAAACCCGTATGTCGAGTTACCACTCTATATTCGATTTCGATTTGGTATTTGCATCAGAAGATCTCAGCATATCCATAAATTTTACCATTCATTTAAAGATAAAACTATGATTTCAATTTTCGAATTAGTAAATGTATGGGAAAACAACATCCGATTGCTATGATGTATTGCTCCATGAACATTTCCTGATGAGTAGTTCAATATGAAAAACTTTACGGTGGTTAGTACCGTATTCTTTTTTTCTTATATCTAAAGCTCTGTTTAGCACTTCCAATTGCTTGTCTTTTTGTCCAAGATTCCTATAAACGTCGCTCAAATTAACTAACGTTTCAATAATGTAATCTGGATACAGCTCTTGGATTTCTAGCATTCTGTTCAATAAATTTGCCTGCTTTTCATAATCAAATATTGATGCATAAACCGTGTTTAATCGTTTTAATACCAAGTACACATCATAATGTTTTTCCCCATAACCATCAATAGTTATTTTCAATATTCTTTCAAATAATTTAATTTGCTTATCCACATACAGATGATTATTTTCGTAAAGTATAGACATGCTTTCTAAGATGGGTAACAATTCTACGGAATTTTCTCCAAATTCTTTCTCGTAAATATTCAAAATTCTATGCATTATTTTTTCACGTTCCGGATCATTTGTATCAAATGTATTTGCAATTTGTTTTAAAATTTCTGCCATTTCGCATGTATATTCCCTCTCAAAGTGTTTCATTAATTTACAACAACGTTCCAAAAGCTTCCTCTTATTTGGATTTTTACTATATTGTGAAAAAGCGTCTGATAAATGACTCAAAATCCATATATCTTCAGCGTCATAATATATAGGCATAGATAAAATTCTATCAATAATTTTGAGTAATTTTGCGTCATTCTCAAATTGATGAAAAAAACAAAACTTGTAACCTATCCAAAGTAACAGTTTATAGATATATTTTTGTTGTATTTCGAAGTTCTGTATAGATTCTTCAATGTGCTGAAGAAATATTTGAAGGTGCGAACTAATCACATCACCGTCAAAAAGTTCGTCTAACGATATAGTTGCATTATTCGTACCTGCAAAATAAGCGTGCAGTATATTGAACATTTTATCGATAGTAACTTGAATTCGGCGATCAATCTTTAAATTAATTCTGGTCACATCTTGAACCAATCTATGAACTTTAAATCTATCGCTTTTAGATCCTGTATTTATCATAGAAAATTGTTTTAATAATTCCAATGCTGCAGCAAAATTCTGCAGTTCGACGTCCGACGACATTGATTTTGTGAAAATTGATGCAAAAATATCATCCGGACTAATATACGAACTCAATTCCAAAATTTCTGTAGATAATTTCCCATATAACTCATTCATTTTTACAGCTTGCATAGTAATCCTCCATGTCGTGAAAACACTTTCTTTGTATACATCCATGGTTTGTTCAAAAAAATTATAATCTAACATTTGTTCCTTTTCGACTTTATACTTTGAGAGATAATCTTCTATGGTAAAATTACGACCAATATTTTCATATATTTTGCTCATTTCTTTAATATAAATTGTCGCTTGTTGTAATGCTAATGGAAGGTGCTGTAAAGTTTCAGACAATTCTATGATAGAATTACGTTCTACGTCATTATCAATATGCAATATTTTCCTAATAAATTCTGCAGATTCAGTACTCGTAAACACATTCAGTGGGATAGTATCTATTTGCGCCCATTTCTGGAATCTAGAAGTTATTATAACAAATATCTTACCAATAAACTCTGCGGTCTGTGGTAAATATTCATCGATATTTGCATCATCAGAATTCTGTGATCTCAGTTTCTCAGCGTTATCAAATACAATTAAGCATTTCCTTGATGAAAGTTTCTTATATATGTCATTAACAATACTTTTGATGCTCAAACTTTTAATCCGCAGATCTTTATCTATCACATGTTTGAAGAGAACATCCCTAGCGAGCTCACGAAATTTTTCTGATAGTTGCTCGTTTGTTTGGGCCTTAATCCATATGACTGTATTGCTATAATTTTCTTTATAAACGCTGATGTATTTTCTAGCTAATTCAGATTTACCTACGCCTCCCAAACCAGTTATCACGGTCATTTGTGATATCATGCTTACACCGTCGCCAGTTAAGGAAGAATGTAATTTATCTAAAACATTATCCCGACCGGTGTATGATAATGTTGGCGGCATTACATCAAAGAGAATCGGTTCTAAATCATTTTTAGAACAAGATATAAATAAATCACTTTCTAATATATCAGCAATTCTACTCACAGTATTATTTGTATCTGTAATAATATCATTTGATCTCAAAAGTTTATTAATCATATTGTCTTCAATATTTGATACTTGATTCGATATGTCTGTTGATAAATTTTGTAAATTTTGTAATTGTTGATTTGTAGCTTCACTGATGGCATTAGCTTCATTTATTTTGGCAAGTGCTGCCTCACTATTCTGTGCTGTACGTAACAATTCCCTTTGATTAATATTTACTTGAGTAGATATTTCTTCTGATAATGACAATGCTTTCACTAATTTTTCAGAATGACGATTTGCCATACTCCGAACTTCTTCCTTGATTTCTTCCGCCAAAATTTTTGTTTCATAAATATTTTCACAACTAAAATTAGTATCATTTTTAGTCAAATTTTCTAATGTCTTAGATAATAATTCTTGAATCATATCATGACTGAGTAAGTATTTGTAGTTTTCTGAAGGTCTAATACAGCCCTTAAAAAAATTCAAATTTTCCCATGAAAATAAAAGTCTATATCCATACGTTTTGCTTTTATCAAAATACCTCCGTATATAATACCTCTCAACTTCACCACTTGCACTTAACTGAACAACTCCTACTCCTTTATACATGTCAGATATTTTCCATTCGCAGCTATCATAATGCAACGTATGCCCGGGTTTCGGAAAATAACGTTCAATTTGGCTGGGCACATTTGGTATTTTATCTAAATTTAATGGACTAACAAGACAAGCACTCAACCCCTTTTTTGAATCTCCTAAAATGATACTTTGTGCAATAAAATCAGGGCATATGTCTATATCAGTATTATCCAGATTATTTTCCACCAATTTATGTAAATAATTTATAGAACGATCCATCGCTTCAATAGCAGACTTCTCCATTGCCCTCATCCAGCTACCATCAGCATCTAGGACTTTGCACAACTGGGCTTCGTAAGCAGCAAACACTTCTCCGGCTGCATATAGTAATATGCGTTTAAATTCAGCTTTCGCAATCAACGAAATGTGTTTTATCACATTTTTGGCTTTACATCGGTGTCTCTTGCCGCAGAAAAAATTTCCTGTTTTTCCAATACCATCACCAATACCCTTTCCGGCTGATTTTGGAACAGCTTCGACTGCTGCTGTCATTAGTAAACCAACGCCCAGTCCAACTGGGTTAGCTGCAGATAATATCGTATCAGTTGTTTTACCTATTTTCGCCTTACCACCAACTGCCGCTTCTTTTTCGAATTCTGATATTTTAGTTTCATAGCTTTTGACAAATACTTTACAATATTTAACAAAACGTTCCTCCACTGTTCCCTGGCTGCTCTTAACATTATTCACAATATTATCATCACAAATAGTATCTTCAATGTGATTATTCTGGAATATTCAATGATAATTAAAAACTTCATAAAAATACGTTTAAATAATAATGTTATTAAAGTCTTTGCTTCGCATTGTTATTAATATATTTTCGGTGTGTTTGATTTAAATTAAAAGTTTTAATCTAAACCATCATTTTATAAAGTTCATGGAATTTACCTGTTGGTTTTCCAGTCTTTCGTCCATCGTTCTATAATTTTTATGTATTCAATATTTCTTCAAATTGAACATGAAAATTATTTGAAATTTATAATTCACGAACACATAAATGTAAAATATGTTTACCCTTAAATGGACATGTACGTGAATTTATTATTTATCACTATGAATATAGGAGATACTTATGGAACATAACTTTGGCTGTATGATTTAAAATAAACACAAACTAAAATCTTAATTCCACAGCCAAATTTTAATTTAATATAATTTGATTGACTATTGACAACCGATAACACAGAGATCTCGTCCCACTCTAAAACAAAAAATATTTTTGCGGAACGTAACCCACAAAAAATCTAACACCAGTAAAAATGCCACGCCTGCCACAGTTTTTTATATTTGTATTCAAGTCTAGATAACTAAATGTGTCTGCGTTAAAATCTTCTCAACTCACAATGTCAAAACAAACGAAGAAGCAAGGTCAAACTGCTTAAAATTCAATTTTTATATCTCTAAAAAGAAAGATTTTTGATATGAAGAATTTCATTTTCATGCTAATAATAATTACAGTTAATAAAAATTTTCGGGTAGTATATTTTGAGACTAAACAGTATATGTCAGGGTACTACTATTTATTTATTGAATATACAGTAGTATCCCGAAATACGAGTTTAATTCGTTCAGCACTGTGATTTTAGGTAAAGTTTTTGAATAATAAAAATAAATTTACTATTTATTAATTTAACTATTATTTTTCTGATGAGTTGGTCCCATGCTCGACCTGTTGCAACTTTTTCGGGGTGATTTTTACCTACAGAATATGTCTAATTGCTTCAAATATGAGTAATTTGACATGAAAGCTTGGTTACAGAACAAATCAATTTCGTATGTCGGGGTACCACTGTATCTCAATTTATCCATATATTATCCCTTTCATTTATAATTTCAAATTTTGTTTGAAGTGTGAAATTCTCCGAAAAAAAATTTAAAAATATTTTTTGCACAAAAATTTGATCATTCTTTAGTCGTTTAAGTTACAGTATACATACGATAGGTATATACATATGTAAATACGTGTGAATATTCTCCTATATGTATATAAGTATATTCGTGACGTGTGATATATATATATATATATATATATATATATATAAATATATATATATAAACAAGAGTCGGTCTCATCAAAGGCTTATCTTCAAGTTCATTACCGTTAATAACGCGATACGTAATTACTATATATAAATATATAAACCCTAACAATATAAATAAAAACAATTTAAGCATAGAGTAGAAAAGAAGAGCGTAATGCCAATTTCAAACTTACCAAAGTAGATTTGTATATTATTTATTTTCCTAACTGAAAGTCCTATTAGCTATATCAGGTTGTCAAATCTTTTTAAGTTGCTCTGAGCCATTGATACTAAAATTAATAAATTTATGCGTGTGTATATGGATATATATCATAGACCTTACATTACGTAGTGTAAGGTCTATGATATGTATATGTGTGCAAAGATAGTCTTATATTTTTGAAAACGCTTTCACGAAAATGGCTGCAAATACTAAAAAAAACTATGAATTGAGGAAACTAAATGATGACTTGCGTTTAATAACTGAGCCGTTTCCACTTACATAATTAACACCTGAGTAATTTCTTTTTACAAAAATTCCTGAACCTATTTTGACAAATACAAATATCATTCAAAGAATTTTAAATGGAATCGTACTGATTAGTTTCTTGTAAATATCAGTCAGTTTTTGGGTGTGTTGTAATTAGCAATCGAAAAAATTATTTAAAATTATTGCTATATAAAATAGCTAACACACACAATAGCATTCACAAGAAACAGTCAAACCCAGTCAAACCGATGTGGATCAGTAGAACGTCCTTTACAAAATATGAATATATAATGAAATTGATCACCATGAAATTCTTTGACACGTTATATGTTAATTGCTATGTTAGTTCAAAATACATATATTTAAAACCAGTTTAAATAATTAATAATTAGGTTAGTCAGTATTATTTGATAAATTTTGTACTAATTAAAATATATAGGTAATTCGTAGCTTCTTCCAAAGTTTGGTGATTTATTGTAAGAATTATTCGAAGTATTGTCCATTGTTAACTATTTACTTTTTAGCATAGTTCTGGTGAAGCCCAGATACCAAGTCGAAAAAAATCATCTCCTTTAGTTTCGATAAATAAATTTATGCAAGTTTTGGTCATCTCATATTTCTCGAAGTGTTACTCTGATAAGCCATGCACCATGGATCTTCCAGAAGAATATTTACTTTGTAGTCCAGTTATTTAAGCTTAAATTAGGTAAGAATCTCGGAATTCGAATGTTATTAAGTATTGTTCGAAGTCATCTCATATTTCTCGAAGTCGTATTCTGATAAGCCATGCACCATGGATCTTCCAGAAGAATATTTACTTTGTAGTCCACTCATTTAAGCTTAAATTAGGCAAGAATCTCGGAATTCAAAAGTTAATAATTATTCGAAGTCATCTCATATTTCTGGAAGTGGTACTCTGATAAGCCATGCACCATGGATCTTCCAGAACAAAATTTACTTTGTAGTCCAATCATTTAAGCTTAAATTAGGTAAGAATCTCGGAACTCGAGATACCCAGTTGTAAGTCTGTAAATACTCTGTAAATACACCCTAAAAGTTGTCTCAAAACCTACATATGGTACGTACACCCTACCATATGTAGGTTTTGAGACAACTCTTAGGGTGTATTTACAGAGTATTTATGGACTTACAACTGGGTATCTCGAATTCCGAGGTGAACTTGTTATAATGACTGGACTATTGGTCTATGTGACTGCAAACAGTTATCTAACGCAGTATTTGGTAAAACGCTATGAATTAATTCCAACCTCCAATACCTAATAACATACATGCTATTTTATTCATTCTATTTTGTTTTGAACAGTTCGAAATCATTATTTTTGGTTTTAATCATCAAATGCGAAAAAATTGTTTGAAATATCATCGAATTGAAAATATATTGCAATATTTCAAAGACTTTGTACTAAACAACTAAACTTTGTTGTTTAAAACAATATAAAGTAAACATCAATACGTACGTTGTCAACATAAAATTCCTGGATGTCAAATTAATGACAATCATAGCATCTATTCAAATGATATCAATATTTTTAGTATTTACCCCTTTCTGGATGGCATCGAATGTAATAGTCCGCGATTGAATGATTCCATATTCCTCCTGCACAGTTGCCTTGACGGAAGCTCGCACCATTCCCTCGAGGCGATCTGCATTGTAATAGACCCAAGCACCAGCAGCAATCTCTGCTACCAGGATGATTAGCAAGCAGCAGAAGAACTATTGATAATGTCAATAAATCATTATGATGATGCTTTAAAAATAGTTATTTATGTAATTCTGATGAAAATATATGAACTAAATACATGTAAAAAATTCTTATGTAGTTTATATATGTAAACAAATATCCCAATTATAAAAAAAAATATTAAAAACTGGATTTGACCATTTCGTGACCAAAAATTTTGCGGATTTTTTTTTACATTTTTTTCTTACATTTCCTATTGAACCACGTAAAACCTTTCTGTATAAATAAAACTTATAGAAAACATTGAATATATTTGGAGCGAATTGCTGCTCCAATGTACAAAAAATGCAACAACGCACAAGCACAAAGCTGTTCGCTTCATACAGGGCAATAAAAAACATTTACCCAAAAATAATAGGTATAATTTTCAGTACAAGTTTAAGCGTCAATAAGAAAGTACCCGCGTAACTCGCGAAACCAGTTAAATAAATAAAATAAATAATAATTAATTAAATGAATAAGTTAAGTTATGCACATGTAAATAATCATATAAATAATTTAGTGAAACAAATAAGTCAACAAGAGTTTCATTATAAACCCAATTTTACATTTATGGGAAATGGTCCCAGTATTACTGATTGTACATGAACAAAACCACAAAAGCATATGGATTTGATACCAAAGTCGCGCAAATACTAGTCTTTATTTCTATTTTTACACATCTCAGAAACAAATTGTGGATATTAAAATTGTAATTATACTAGGGGTACATAAAATTATATAGGACTTGGGATAACAATATATGAGCAATTTTAATCCATTGTGGTAATTGTTGTCCCTTAAACATTCAGGAAGTACAGATGATGTTAAACAAATAGATAACATAATGAAGAAATAATAAAAAAAAACAGAACTTACTATATCTTCTTTAGCATTTTTATAAATTATAACCTATAGATATATGAGAAAGAAATGGTCTGTATAAAGGTGTGGCGTATAAGGCGTTCCTTCAATTTTCATTATATTGATGTTCGCTTAGAGTATACGAATATATTATAGATACATTTGGAATAAGTTGATATTTACTATACTTTCTAATGATAACAAATCAATAAAATCAAGTCTTAATAATTGGAGATATATTATAAATGACAAAATTTTGAAAGAAAAAAGAATTTGAAAGCATTAACAATGTATCCGTTAAAATAAACTAATAAGTCATTTAAACCAATAATATAAAACACAATAACTGCATTAGAAAGCACTTATATTAGTTTTATAATTTTACCTTATTGGCATTTGAAATATTATGGTTTCTAAATTTACTAGAGAGCTTTTTCTGTTGTTTCATTGATATAATTAGTAAATTGCCAGTCGTTTGCTAAACAATTCAATAATTGTTGTCGATAATTATTTTTGTGACTATTTTTTCTAGCAATTAATATGTTATATTACGATAGGCATGATAGCTATATAAAAGAAGATAGCTTCAACTGCACATATTGGTACCGCAAAAATGCACATAATTAAGAAGCAGAATAAACTTTTATAATATGTGCATAATTATACGATAAAGTGTTTTTCAACACTATACAATGATGTGCAAGTTACAAACCTTACAAAGAAGGTCACCATTTAGGAGCCAAATTTTTGATGAAATAGAAATGTTATGGCAATGCAATGTTATGGGTCTATCTTCGTATTAGTTGGTAGTAATAAACTGTCAAAAATATATGTATTTTCTGTGTGATCATGCTTTTTACGCATAAAACCTACGTATATTATAATTTTAAATAAAAGACAATTACATAGCCTTTATTGCAAGTCTCTAAATTTTTTTGGCAAAATGAATATTTTATATTAATGGTATCAATACTTAGAAAGATGCTTTTCTATGGGATCAAGTTGCAATAATGCAGTACTGGATTCTAATCGTTAAGAAAGAAATAACATATTTATTGATAACATTATTGGTTCTTTTTCACCTGAAGCAAAAATCTTGTATCAACATCATTCTCAATTTCAAACTGATTCGGGCATAATGCTGTTAAATTAAGAGATCCAATCCTGGCAGTAAGTGATATAAAAATTATTAATATGAAATATTCTCTGTAAATTTTATAATTGATTAAATATCATGACTGATGTAGCTAAATCAAGACAATTCTTTCTCCTCCCACAATTGCTATAGAAAAAAAGTTCCAGTTTATGCCTTTGGCAGAGTAATCCCTCATTTTATATGCCCTTAGAATTATTATTAGACGAGTGTGCGTTTTGTAGGTTAGATTTTATGAGTAAAATGCCTGATCGCACAGCAAATACATAGCTTTTTGACAGTTTGTCACTACTAACTTATGCAAAGATACATAGCATTACCATAACATTTCTATTTTATCGGAATATTGGCCTTAACTGAGAATAGTTGTATTCTCAGGTCAGTAGATTCAATAATAATATTAATAACAAGTAGGAAATTTTATATTAGATTAACTTGACTTGATTTTGAATGCATAATTCATCAATGTTTTAATACAACGTTTCTGGTAGAATTTTTTTCTAGCTTCCAAGAAAATAACATAAGTAATCAGTGGCGTAACTAGACCCTCCGGGGCCCGTGGCAAAGTCTTCCGATGGGGCCCTATCGTGGTACTCAATTTTTAATTTATCTAATTTTGTTTAATAAACATTAATAATCATTTACACGCTGTTTTACTACTGGTTAAAACAATTTTTACTGAATTTTATCAAAATTAGCAAACCAACTTGGACTAATTTATATTTTATGACTTTAAATTATGAAATTATAACACAGGTAGAAAAGTAAAGTATTGATTTAGAGTTATAATCATAATTTAATTGTAATTATATGAAAATAACAAAATACATAAACTTAATTTTTTTGAAAATCAAACATGAAATATTAGTGAATATTTTCAACGTAAGAATAGATGGAAATTAAAATTAAACGTATTTTTAATGAAAATTAAAAATAAGTATCACTTTCTTAAATTTAATTAATATATAACCTTCCATTAACAATTTCTTTTTTTTACTGTAATTAGTTTTATTGATTAAGTAGTGACGTTCGATCTCTATAAAAATTTATGATTTAAACAATATCCCTGATGAAAAACAGTATTGAAAAGTATTCATTTCCTCGGAAATCCAATCCGTTTCAATACCATTTGGACGATTTTTTTAATGACGATGAAGACTTTTGTCATGTAGCTTATCTAGAAGAAACAATAGTTAGCCCTCTGCACCTATTCAAATTCCGCCTCTGTTCAAATTTCCCTGGTAAATGGTTTAGAATCTGAACAAAAGTTTTTTTTATGGTGCTGATTTATTAAATAATAATTTTAAAATTTATTTATTCTGAATTTCTAATATGTCTTTTTTATCTAAACAAATTATAGAGCTTTTATTTAATAGATCAGTATCATTGAAAACTTCTATTGTAGCAAAGTGCTGAAATTTGGAACATATTAATTCATCGGAAGAAACAAGATTTAATTTGTTTAATAATGTCCAATATTCGATAAACTTTTAACAAACTTCTAGTATCTTGAATATGAATTCCCAAAGCTTGCCAAAATAGCGTATTACTTAACTGTAACGAGTTTTAAGATATTCATGATTGATAAATCATTTTTCTACTACACTAGTGGCGTCTAATTTGAAATTTCCAAATTCATGTCAATAATTTTCTAATTCTTAACAAATTTTTAAATTTTAGCTTATGGCGCTTTAGATGCTGTGTCGATAGTAGTAGAATATTACAATGGAAAGCCTATAATAAAATAATTGTAGTTTCCAAACTTCTTTTTATGTGATATAGTTTCATTTTGGATTTAAAAAAAACGGAGTTTTAAGGCCAGAATGGCATCAGAATGTTGTGTTATTTCGTTATTAGATTCTTAGATTAAATCTTGATAAAATATTTCATCTTTATATATCATAGCCTAAATAATTAAAAATTCATAAACTGTTCAAAGAAAATGCAGAAAAATATGAAGAGACCAGTAGATGTGTTCTAAAACGAATTAAAATCCTTTTGTTTAAAATGTGTTGAAATTAGGCTTGCGATGCAACAAATAGCATAATCAGCAATATACCAATTATAATAAATGAAATTAAGAAAGAGACTTGTCGGAGTCCACATGTCAGAAGTATAATCTGCTTCTGAAGATAAACTTTTGATTTTCAAAACCAAAAATAATGTTTGTATTTTGTGCGATAAAAAACCTAAGATAGCTCTTTATTTAGTAACGGCTTAGATTGAATATAATGAATGACTTCATTGTACATACAACTCATGCACGTAGCCGTTAAATATTAAATGACATTTAACTATAACAATAATGTATTCTTTGAATATTATTCCTTTGAATGTTCTTTGAAAAATACGGGGCCCCCGGGCCAGGAAAGCCCAATGATGAAAAATCTAAAGCAAAACAATGATTTATAAAAAATTAAATAACTTGGACGTAGTTATCGAGCGGTATTGAACTTCAACTTGTGAGCTAATGCTCTAAGAGAATTTATCTCTGCAGCAAAATATTTGAAAAAGATTTTAAAACTATGTATGTACTTTACGAATACGATGATATTCAAAATTAAAACTAAAATTACGTAAAAACTTTAGGACAGAAATGTCTACCAGATTTGTCACTATCGTTCCTAGAGACAGAAACATTAGATAATCTAAAGATCACTTAATAATTCAGTTTTTCGAAAAAAGATACGGTGAGAATATTTTTATCTGAAGTCATTTATGAAAAATTCAGAATATTATAGAAAATTAGATAGAAAAATAATTAGAATAATAAATAACTATTCTTCTAATTTTATGTATTTAAATAATATGTGATAAAAAGTTTCTTCTTAAGGGGGCCCCCAATCAAATTTTGATATGAGGCCCCGCGAAGGCGCGCTACGCCCCTGATATTGAGAAAAGAGTTCTTCACGTGTTCGTTTTTTATCTTGAAAGTCGACATAGTATAAAATTATTATATATATATACAATACTAAATTCATTAATTCATTATTGATATCATATATAATACTTTCGCTGTGTGGCGGCGACTTCTGTGGTTTTAACTAACTAAATATTCGGCCGAATGTAAGTTCGACGCAAGCCTGGTTAAATAATTAACTCCGACTTTGAACTTAAAAAATATAAAATATAAGTTTCAAGTGAAATAAAATTTATGTTCAATATAAACATGTATTTCTGAGTCCGCTATTTTCTGGCCCGGGGCCCCCTTAGGTCGGGGGCCCGTGGCATTTTGCCACCCACGCCACCCTATAGTTACGCCACTGTAAAGTAATACAATATGGACTTCTTAGTACATAAACACCATTATGAAAAAATAATATTACCGAGACAAGCATGCATGTGTTTTCTCGAAAAGCTCCGCAGCAACCGAGAAAGGCGACCACCAGCATAAGTGCTCCGGCCGCCAGGAATATATAAATCCCAATGTAGTAGTTGCTCTCATCTTGTGTCATCGATAAGTAAAACGTGGGATCTGATAGCATCCATACTGCCAAGATTAGTACTGCCAAACCGACCAACTGTAAAAATTTACAATATGATTAAAAATATATTTACATATGCTTAAAAACTAATTTACGACACAATTGTGTCAAAGATAATCTCGAATGATTGCATATTATTTGTACATTATTAATTACAATATTATATCATATGAACTACCTACGCTTAATAATCAAATTACTATGCATCCAATCATGACTCATGAGATCATAAACTCAATGAAATATTTTCTTCATGAACTTGGTAATAATTACACATTTTTTCGGTAATACGCACACGAATACAATTTATCTAGGCAACATTTTTTTTTTTTTTTTAAATTCTTTAACAGCGATCAGAACTTATGAGTTCTATGAGCTGTTGTGATCAATTATCTTACAATTATTATAGATGGCAACCCAAACAGTTGTCCCATCTCTATGTGCTGAATTATTACAATTGTTGTAATAGTGATGACTTTTTACTTCCAAGTGGCATGTTGCCACTACAGCTATGCCCACGAAAGGCCATTTTCACTTGAAATCATATTTGAAATCTATGATTTCAAGTGAAAATTTGGTATCAAGCTGCTTTGATACCGAACCGACCGAGGTTGGATTCGAACCCGGGACTAGGATTTGCTAGCTCACGTTCTTACCACGGGACCACGGCCGGCCCTAGGCAACAATTAGCATTATAATTTGACGACTTCTTGCTGTTTTGTTTGATAACGTCACATTGAAAAGCAATATATACTTACTATAATTTTCATGTGTTATTCCCTATCTCGTACATGTCCATTATTCTTTATATATACTGTGGACTCTAATAAAGGTCGACAAAAACTATCTGGAAAGTTTTGAAATAGTAGAGCTGAATGCGAATGGAGAAGATAAAGTGGACAGATAAGATATCAAATGAAGAAGTCCTAAGAAGAGTGGGCGAAGAAAGATCTATGCTGAACACGATCATTAAAAGAAAAGGAAACTAGATCGGACCAATTCTGCAAAAAGCGAGCTTTCTACATGATGTCGTCGAAGGTAAAATAGGAGGACTGAAAAGATTGAGAAGAAGAAAAATGCAGATAGTTGACGATTTACGCGAAAAGAGAAAATACTGAGAACTGAAAAACAAAGCACATGATCAGGAAGCCTGGAATCAGAATTTGTAAGTTTAGTATGGAAAATTCATGAGAATGAATGCAAAGTGATAAATGGTAATGGGAATAATAAACAGGAGAAGGGAAAGGAATATTTTAATTTTGGTGCTTTCATACCATGGACTGCCTTCGAGCAAAATACTATTTAATAGTATAAATTTGTAAAATAATAGACAAACACATTCATATTTGTTATATTACTTAACTCATCCTAAAGGTCAAGAGCAATTTTATGTGGAAATAAACTCATTTGAAAACAATTTCATAATTTGCGATTTTGTTCGTTAGAGTAAGTTTTTCTTAGCTTTGTTTGGAAAAGGTTTACTTGCACCAAGTTGTTTATAATACACGATTTCTCTCCGGACAAATACAATGTTTTTCTGAACTAAATGCTTCTTTCTTTCAAACAATTATTTAATTTGTTTATTATAATTATTTCTGCGTATCGGATATATATATATATATATATATATATATATATATATTGAAGTAAAACTTCTTTAGGCGCGACTAGGGTGTAAATCCGTACAAATGCAACGAAAGTGCGTTACGGCAGATAAGATAAGATAAGAATCGTGTGCCAATGATTAGTCATTCGCTCTCGATGATAACATTTCTAATTACAATGACCAAGCGATCTGTCATATGTGAAATATGACTTTAATTATTGTTTTTAAATATTATGCATATTATAATGCTATTATAAATATATAATTTATAATTTATCATTATATAAAAGTGTATAATGGTTGACACTAATAAATGTGTGCATCACGAGTGTTACCATATTACTAATAAGCATTATTCAAAATTATTATATGATGTATTTATTTTTACTTAACTTAAAATTTCTACTTTGTACAGTAGCAAATACGTTTTACTTCAATCGCGTGTGATCCTTATGCGAACTCTTTATATATATATATATATATATATATATATATATATATATATATAAATTTTCTTCAAAGGACAAATGTTTTAATTCATAAATAAGATAAGTGGGCAGTATAACAATTATCATGTGTTGAATACAATTACAAAGGCTTCTTGTTAAATAGTATTCATTTGCACTAAGCACATAACATTTAAATGGAGTTAGTGGCATGAGGTACAGAAATTAGAACCACTTAATGAAGTGTGGGAAAACAGAGCGCTATCATTATTTGTTTCTATTATATAAGGAAATGTGCCAAGTTCTCGTACCAGTCGAAAATTGGTCTAAATAACTTTTGTAAAAACTATTTCTATAAATTCTGCAAATGCAAAACGATAGTAAACAGACGTTACCTACAATTCACAGATTCAAGAAGTAATTCCTAAATTCTTCATTATTTTTTAGCTCTATAATCTCATTTTGTTGTAATATGTAAATTCAAAATTGATCTCGCTAGTCATGTATACCCAAGATAACTCAATTTGAAGTTCTCTCGAAGGAAAATAACTTTTCACAAAGGCACCAAATGTTGGACCGTATGAGAAATGTACTGTAATCATGCACACATTTACAATAGAGACGAAATGTATGAATTCATAGATAAGTATATGGAATGTTTGCATGCTAGACAGAGTTTAATAAAGGAATCTTATTCATAGAGATAAGAAATATGAAAGCTGGTTGAAAACTTGAATTGTGCTTGATCGAATTTTTGTACTATTGTAATAACTACAGTCACCTTAATAAAGAACAGTATAAGAGTATGCTTAATAAATATTCACCAAAAAAACGAAGTTTCAAATACACTAAAATTCCAAGTGTTCATTAAATAATATTGTTCGAAATAGTGTGAATAGAAATAGATAAACTTTAACTATAGGTGTTCGCGGCATTAAATTTCCTGATATGTGTTAATAATCGACATGGATCACAATGTTTTTTTATTTTTTTTATAATTTGATCACTTCCCATTTTTTTCACATTTGATCAACTGTATAAAGCCGATGGGCGTATAAATAAATAAATAAATGAATAAATAAATATTTTTGTTTTTGGTATAATGTTCAGAATTGAAAACAAATATTTCAATGGCTATAATAAAAGATAGAAACAATTTAGTTTGTAAAAAAATCGTTTTACTGCTCATTTTAAAATATACATAAGTTATAAAATTTGATGCTTGTAAGAGTGACCATACTTCAAATGAGAAGCACTTGAAACAAAAATAATCTTCAATATTAAAATCCAATAATCCAAAAAGGCGTATAGTTCAATCTCTGTGAAAAAAGACAGTTGGATATGCAAGTGTCCTGATTATTGGCGACTAAATCGTCTTTTTTACACTTTCCCGTATCTTTCAAAACGCTTGACTAGCTTATACCAACAATAAATTAACAGCTCACAACAATATATTTTTTTATTCAAAAAAGTCAGTATATACTTTGATTTTTACTTAATTTTTTCAACTTTTTCTTCCGAATCTCCGAATTGACTAAACTTGCCTTTTTCAAAAACAATGAGCTCTTACGATGTTATATTAGTAAGAATCGAATATTAAAGCATTTAATTCAGTTACCAAAACACGAAACATATTAATTAAGTGGTTTCCTCAGTTTTTTGAGCCTGCTTTAATAAAAAAATATGACGCCCTCCCCTTAATTTTTTCAACGTTTTAATACTCAACTGATATAAAAATATGCATAAAATCTAATAATTTTTACTTTATTTTTCAATCTGGAAACAGATGTACGCGCCCCCGTTAGAAGAGCTTGGGGCCCCCCTTAGTGGGCGCGCCCCACAGCTTGGAAACCGTTGCATTAATTCATTATAAATATAACCATACATAGCTCCACTTCTTGTAAGATTCGCCGAAACAGACGAAAGTTTGAAAACCTTATTTAATTCGTATTTAATTTTTGTGATTTCTATAACTGAAAAAGTTAAGAAACAGGAAAGCAAGAGTTTCATACAATGTATATTTACATTCTAATTGTTTTATTTTGCAAGGTTTTGAATACTTTCGTCATTAATTTTATTCAATTTTCTTGTAAGATGAGCACTTTTACACAACCTTAATTTTGTCGGAAGAAAATTACAAGAAAGGATGCGGAAAATCTGCGCGCAGCAGCACAGTTGGTCGCGCAATTGCGTCTCAATCTCAAGCCCTTAGCATACTGCTTAAACTGTGTGCACCCCTACTTCATTCGAAATTGAGCACTGATGAAAAGTAAAAAATGAATAAATGATGGAAAGAATTTTCTATTGCGATGCAGTATTGCAACCTGCGTAGAATTAATTCAGTGATGTACTTCAGATATTTTGCTTACCCTTCTCGCAATACAAAAAAGAACTTGATAATTTTATGTATATGTGCTTAAAAATGTTGCAAGTATATTTAAGTATCTAATTCTAATTAAGTTACAAGAACGCATTGTAGTACTAATCGTAATCTTTCTCGTAGTCACCAATTTCAGTGTCGTCACACGACAAAATTTTATATTTTTTTCTTTTAAACGAAATGATTTGTGAACTAGAAAATTTAAATCTAAACTTTCAGACTAAAATACCTGCAATAGACACACAACGAAATAAGAACAAGGTATCTGTCGGAGTTCAGAAAGGACTCAAATATCAAAAATTTTACAATTATTTCTTGTAACTAAAAATACACGTCATGTTTGGTGGGGGGAAGGCGGAAGAGGGGTAATTTTGAATATCACCACGTATCACCAAGAGGAAGGGTAAGTCCAAAAATCCTTAAAAAATCCAACACGTGATTAATGGACGCCCTCTAAACAAAATTCAGTCTAATCATTTTTTTTTATAGATTTTTGTTTCAACTTCATGAAAGTCCATCTGCAATACTATATGTTAAGAAATATTATGTTGCATCTTAGTTTACATTGAGTAGGGTAACCCGGGTACGGTTGTGCCACTTTTTT